CGTCAAACGGAGGAAAAACAGGAGAAAACGATAGAAAAAGTAAAAAAACAGCAGAAAACACCATGATCAGTTAAGAGCGTGTCACCTACTACTACTACTACTACTACTACTACTACTACTACTACTACTACTACTACTACTACTACTACTACTACTACTACTACTACTACTACTACTACTACTACTACTACTACTACTACTACTACTACTACTACTACTACTACTACTACTACTACTACTACTACTACTACTACTACTACTACTACTACTACTACTACTACTACTACTACTACTACTACTACTACTACTACTACTACTACTACTACTACTACTACTACTACTACTACTACTACTACTACTACTACTACTACTACTACTACTACTACTACTACTACTACTACTACTACTACTACTACTACTACTACTACTACTACTACTACTACTACTACTACTACTACTACTACTACTACTACTACTACTACTACTACTACTACTACTACTACTACTACTACTACTACTACCTGGTACTCCTGCTGCTGTTGTGGGTATGCATTCCTACCTCAACCCTAAACCCTAAAACCTTAAACCTTAAACCCATTGCGCAGGCAAAGCAGAAACTTGGAAAGCGGCTCAGGGACCGCGACGCTGTCGTGGATGTGGGAGCAGGGCAGCATGCTCGAGCTCTTGTGGGCATGGTGCCAACCGTGACAGCGACCAGAGGAGCCTCTCGGGCGTCGCTCGCCTCATCCCTGGGGATTTTGGGCCGTCACGGTCTCGTCCGCTTCTAGGGGGTTGTCATGGTCTCGTCCGCTTCTAGGGGTTTTGGGCTGGCATTAAGTTAGAGCACTTGAACCCCTGATGTCATGGCCCCCGCCTGCCAAGCCAGGTATTACCTTCCAGGGCGACACCGATTTATGACCTTGCGAGAGATGGCAGGCCTTCAAGGACTACTACTACTACTCCTTCTAGTACTACGTACTGCTACCACTACCACTACCACTACCGTTGGTTCCGCTGCATGTGTGGAGGAGTGATGCCTGGCATTTGGAACGCAATGGCGACGTCGGGGGTCAGCGACTCTCAGCTTGGGCGAGCTTTGGGCAACAGCATACCCACTTGTGTGCTGGAAAGGGTGCTGCGGCAGGTCTTCTTGTGGGCCGGCTATATCTCCGAGCTTCCGGCTGACAACTGGAAGCAGTGTGTTGAGAGCATCGAAACAGATGGCGTGCCCGACAGCGTGTACCAGCGCCTGCAAGGCCGTCTGAGCAATGGCAAAGGCGAGAAGTGACGGGATCCCGACAGCGTGTACCAGAACATGCAAGGCCATCTGAGCAATGGCAAAGGCGAGAAGTGATGGGTGGGCGCAGCGCTACGAAAGAGCGTGCGAGGGTTGGGGTTGGAGAGCACAGATACGCCCTTCCCCCTGAGCGCAAGACAGTAGATTAATCGTGTAAGTCAAGATCAACCATCAACATGAGAGAAGCGTTCATGTGTCTAATCCCTTCCCCTGATACTAACCCCCCTAATTCTAAATATTGTTTGTCCCGGACCGCACCAGCACCCAGCCCATTACCAAACCTGTGATAATGGGGGGGGGGTTGAGGGGGTTTCAAGGTTTAGGGCTGAGGGCTTCGAGGGTTTCACTCGGGTTTATTAAGCTACTAAATGAACCCTAAACCCCAAGCCCCGAACCGCAGACTCCCTCCTTGGGCCTGGTTTTCCGGTTTCAGGGTTTTGGCCCCGCCTTAAATATTTTCCGGCCCAAGCGAATTTCAGAATTGGGGGGTGGGGGTGGGTTTTAGTATCATCTCAGTAACAGTCATGATGGACAAGGTCCCTCACCCTGAAGCCAAGACCCCAAACCAAAAGCGTGGAGGTGACCTTGCCAGCAGCTGCCCGGCAACCCTGCGCGTCCGGATTGGCATCCTGGAGAGGACTTTGCTTGAGGGCCTGGTGTTTTCGGGTAGGCGCTAGGCAATTTCAATAGTCCCTGAGGGTTTATTGCAGGGGAGATTAGGGTTTTGGGTTTTAGGGTTCAGGGTTTGGGCCTTATAGGTTTATATCGGTTTAGGGTTTAGTGTTTTGATTTAGGGTTTAGGGTTTAGGGTTTAGGGTTTAGGGTTTAGGGTTTAGGGTTTAGGGTTTAGGGTTTAGGGCAACCCAAAGCCTTAACCCCTCATCAGGGCAGCGACATGAGTTGTCACCACACTCCAAACCAGAAGACCAAATCCAAGTTCAAAAACCTGAACCAACCTAAAGTTTCTGAGGGGCTTCTGTGCTTTTGGGGGCGTGGGCGTGGTGAGGCCGTGAGAACAATCAGGCACCCCATGAGTACTTCTAGAGCGTTTTAAGGAATGAGAGGCTGCGTAGCGTTGATGATTCAGGGTTTGGGTGTTGCTTTGGGTTGAGTGTCATGTGGTAGACATGGACCGATGACGCGTGTCCGTAGCGCCTACATCCAATCAAGTGAGCCTCGGGATCACCGCTGCGCTTGGCCACAATGGCGCAGACTTGGTTCCATGCCATGACCAGCAGCGGCAGCCTGGAGATGTACATGAAGAACCTCGAGTTCCATGTTTCCATGGAGGCTGCCATCAAGGACCAGATCAAGCACGTTGGCCGAAAGTTACCTGGCTGCGGATAACCCTAAGCCCGGAACCTGAAACCCTCGACCAACCCGAAGCCCAATCCTGCGAAACCCAACCCTGACAGTAGTCCTGAGGGTTGGTGTGGATTGGTCTGCGAAGCTGCAGAAGCCAAAGACAAGCATGGTGGCGTACAGCTTGCTGACGAGCAAGGTTTTTTCCATCATTTCTCTGTCTGTGGAGGCTATGCAGGGCCGAGTCGAGGATCGCACAGTCATCCTGACCAATTCTGGCACCATGAAGGTGCCACAGCTGGATTTCAGCGAGTGTAGCTGGGCCAACATCGAGGTGTCAAAGGTCAAGCTGGACGTGGTGTGCGTTCCGATCGATGATCCGAAGAGTACGGTGTACACATGGTACATGGCTGGCTCAGCGGAGACGCGGCGTGTGGAGACTTTGCTCAAGAGGTCGGTCTCATTGCATAAAAAAGTGTTTAGCCCTAAGGTTGGGTTCATTAGGCAGGGTGTAAGCTGCTCGTGGGAGGCACCTGAAAACCCACCTGGAGACAGTGAACGAAGCTGCGATCCTGTGGCCACGTCTTGAGCCTTTGGCAATGCTCCTCTGGGTCACCGAGCCAGAAGACCTGCCGGGGAAGAAGCCGCTGGACACGACCCTAAGCCCTAAACCCTAAATCCCTAAATCCCCAAACCATGCCCGCCGTCATGGCCATTTAGTCAAAACTCTAAACGCTCTAGAGCCTAAAATCGCAAACGCGTTGCCCCAAACGAAATTAAAGCACCTGTGCTGCCCAGGTACATGCTCAAGGTGTTTGGGCGCAATGAGGGGCCCGTCGGGAAGTTCATCCACATCGAGAAGTCGCCCATTGCGGCGTCCTGACCAAAGTATAGAATATGTAAAGCAGTTTTTGGGGCTGGTGCTGGTTTTGTTAACCTTAACCCTAAACCCTTACCCCTAAACCCAAAAACCCAAAAACCCTAAACCCACAACCCGAGGCCTTTTGGTATGCTCCCGGGGACCAGCTGCCGCCAAGCACTGGCACGGTGCAAGTGAGCGTGATGATGACAACGTTAACGACCAAGCGCCAGGCTGAGGTGATGAGCGAGGTGGACACCGAGTCCCGTGCCAAGCGCATGAAGAAGCTCAGTGCAGACATGGGCAATCACATGGACGAGCTTCGATGGTTCCTCTACGAGTACGGCGATGCTCGCAAGGATGCTGCTGGGAAGGTCGACAACTCTGCCGAGGAAACTGCGCTGCTGCGAGATGCCAAGACAATGGTGAAAATCATGGATGAGACGATGGGCGGAGCCGGCAATGTGGCAGCAGGCGCGGCGACCCGCGGAGACGGCACGGCGAGCGCGGCGAGCGTGGAGAGCGCGGCGAGCGTGGCAAACGAGTCGGAGAACGGAGCTGAGTGATTTTCCAAAGTTGATTTGCTGCGTGTCCCCGGCCGCCCGGCAGGGTGTTGGTGGCTAAGTGTGCTCAACCTAAACCTGTAACCCTACTTTAGTAGATCTGCTGCCCGGGCCGTTGCTGACATGCAAAGCTAAGCGTCTCTGAGACGAGTGCTTGGATCCGAGTTTTTGACTGCAGAAAAAGGTATTCGAGGCTTCGCCTGCTTCCATAAACCCTAAACCCCCAGAAAAACCCAGGCTTTAGGGCTCGGGGTCTAGGTTTACTTCAATGACTATGGGTCCCTAAACCCATTTGGCTAAACCCTATAAACCCTAAACGCCCAGAAAAACCCAGTGAGGGATGGCCAGGGCTTAGGGCTCGGGGTCTAGGTTTACTTCAATGGGTCCCTAAACCCATTTGGCTAAACCCTAGACACCCTAAACCCCAAGAAAAACCCAGTGAGGGACGGCCAGGGTTTAGGGCTCGGGGTCTGGGTTTACTTCAATGGGTCCCTAGACCATCCTGAAGCCAACTCCTGCAGACCCTACCCTAAACCCTGAACCCAACTGCTGCAGACCCTCTACCCTAAACCCTGAACCCAACTCTTGCAGGAGCTCGCCGGCTGGTGGCAGCATGGAAGTTGCGAGAGAGAAAACAGCTCGCATCCCCTGAGCCCTATGCCCTACACCTAAAGTGACACTAAACCCAAAAACTAGAAAAAAGTATTCACTTTTTTTTTGACATAGACTCAAGGGGCGAGGTACCTAGGGAACCTTAGGGAAGCTTACGAAGCCTCAGGGAGTAGTGGGGAGTATTTGGGAAACATGGGTTACATAGCCTCCTTGAACCCCCCTCCCTCAAGAACCCTATAAAGGTTGCGGCCGTCCGCGCCCTAAACCCTAAACCCTAAACCCTAAACCCTAAACCCTAAACCCTAAACCCTAAACCCTAAACCCTAAACCCTAAACCCTAAACCCTAAACCCCTTCAGATGAGGTCGCAGAACATCTTCCTTGCCGAGTCTGGACGCGTGCAGGGCTTGGCGGTATGTCTCGGGGCATCCTTAAGGTCTGCTTTTGAGTTTCCCTGAAGGGCCCTATAGGGTTTTGGGTGTAACTAGGGTTTAGGATGTAGGGTTTAGGGTTTAGGGTTCAGGGTTCAGGGTTCAGGGTTTAGGGTTTAGGGTTTAGGGTTTAGGATGTAGGGTTTAGGGTTTAGGGTTTAAGTTTAGGGTTTAGGGTTTGACCTCCGCGCAACACACTGTAAAGTGATTGTCTGTGAGGAGGAAAGTGTTCTGGATGGCGGCGTTTTGTGATAGCTACGAACTGCATGCCCACCAAGCGGCCCCGAAGAATCCACAACAGAGCTGGCGTAACACCTTTAACCAGCACAGCATAGTATGGTAGATCGCCGCAACTTCAACCGCATCTGCGCGCCAACAAATCTCCAACCACCCCAGACAAAGCTCAAAGCCTGCCACCCGAAACCAGAAGCTTGAAAGTCCTAAGCCTACGTCCGAGTTACCTCCCCCCCCAAGAAAATGAACATGCCCCCAATATCGAGAATTCTGCGGTGTGGGGGGGCTAAAGGGATTTTAAGCTGGTTTCGGGCCTATATCAGTTGTTATAGGTTCTTTTTGTCGGTGCATTGGGTTTAAGGGGGCTCGTAAGCGTTTGTGTGTGTGTGTGTGGGGGCTAGAGCTACTTGGCCTACAAAGGGGCTCTGGCTGGCAAATATCAAGGGTTTACAGAGTGTAGGGTGTAGGGTTTAGGGTGTAGGGCTTGGGATTAGGGTTTAGGGTTTAGGGTTTAGGGTTTAAGGTTTAGGGTTTAGGGTTTAGGGTTTAGGACAATACTCTTCAAGCTCAGGTCCGCCTGGGTGACTTTGGCCTTTGCAGGCCCTGTGGCTCCAGTTCTGCTTACTGTTGGTTAGCAGGGAATGAGGGGTTTAGGGTTTAGGGTTTAGGGTTTAGGGTTTAGGGGTTTAGGGGTTTAGGGTTTTAGGGTTTAGGGTTTAGGGTTTAGGGTTTAGGGTTTAGGGTTTAGGGTTTAGGGTTTAGGGTTTAGGGTTTAGGGTTTAGGGTTTAGGGTTTAGGGTTTAGGGCCCTACATACCCTTTAAGGGAGTATATAGGGTACCTCATTCCCTCATTCCCTGCTAACCAACCGTAAGTTTGGGGCTCTGGGGGAGAAATTGCTGTGGAAGCATCAAATGCTGGGAAAGACTACAGCTCTAAACCCTAAAACCCTAACCCTGAACCCTAAAACGATAGAAACCCTGGAAGCCGATAAGCCTGGGGTTTCGGCTGGTGAGGGTTTTGAGTTTTTTTTTGGGGGCGGCTTAGGGAGGGCTTTGGGGGCTTTGAGGCATATGGATCGTGAGAGCTTGGGTGGGCTTTCCAAGGTTGTCTGCCCCAACTCCAACCCCCCCTCCCCCATCTTTCGAGGTTTCGTGTTTGATTCGAACCCTCAACCCTCGGCTCAAATCCTCAACCCTAAACCCTAAACCCCCCAGGCTTCGTAAGAATTTGGGAATATACCACTTTCCCTAAACCCTAACCCTGGACCCGAGACCCTACACTCTAAACCGCCCTACAAGCCCTAAACCCGAAACCCTAAACCGCCCTATAAGCCCTGGCATCTTCCAGGCATGCGCCCCGCAACCTCGAGTCGTCCCCAACGCTGACCCATGCAGGCGTCATCGGGCTTTCTGGTGCCTCTTACTGTGTGGGGTTTTGGGGTTTTGGGGTTTTAGGATTGTAGGGTGTTTTGGGTTTTGTTTTAGGTTTTTTTGGGGTTTTAGGGTTTAGGGGTTTAGGGTTTTAGGGTTTTTTGGTGTTTTAGAGGGTTTTAGGGCTTTAGGGTTTAGGGTTCAGGCGTCAGGGTTTAGGCGAACCCTGACGAAAATCACTTGGTGGCCCAGTGCTACCCGTTTTGCCTTGTGTTCGTTCAAAGTTCCCTTTTTTAGAACCAGCCACCCTAAACCCTATAACCCTATGACCCTAAACCCTAAACCCTAAATCATAAACCCTAAACCCTAAACCCTAAACCCTAAACCCTAAACCCTAAACCCTAAACCCTAAACCCTCCCCCCTAAACCCTAAACCCCCCTAAACCCTAAGCCCTAAACCCTTTAGGGCAAAGATTGCTTTTGCGGGCTGAGGGGTTCTATCCTAGGGTGACCGACTTTCTAGGGCTTTCGGGGTTGGGGTTTACTGGTTCTAAGCCCCAGACAAACCCTAAACCCCTAAACCCCTGAACCCCTAAACCCCCAAACCCCTAAACCCCTAAACCCCTAAACCCCTAAACCCCTAAACCCCTAAACCCCTAAACCCCAACACCCCAAAACCCCTAAGCCCCTAAACCCTAAACCCTAAACCCCTAAACCCTAAGCCCAAAAGCTATGGGAGCCGTGGATGTCGTCATGGGCGCCATCGCTTGCAATCAGTTTTCTCCAGAGATGCGGCGGATGGCGACAGTGCAATGCGCGCAGCTTCATACTTCCTCCCAGGACGGGCGATTGTACCCGATAACCCACCTAAACCCTAAACCCTAAACCCTAAACCCTTTATAGGGTTGACGATGGGGATTCTTGGGCCTAATACCCCATCCTTGTCTCTCTCCAATGCACCAACAACACGATCTCTTCACAAGGAATGTTTAGGGTTTAGGGTTTAGGGTTGAGGGTTGAGGGTAAGCACTTATGAACGGATGGTGTCAGCGTCCCTGAACCAACCCTAAACCCCGAGAACCCTGGACCCCTGAACCTTAAAAAACCACCCCCAAACCCCTCAAACCCTGTAGTTAGATTTAGTTTCATTTTTCGGGGAACGAACTTCAACCCCGACGACACCTGAACTGCACGGGAGAAAGCCTAGACCCTAAACCCTCAACCCAAAACCCAAAACCCTAAACAGGCACCGACTGCTATATGGCTCCTGAGATGCTCTCCTCATCCAGGCCAGTCTTACGACGTTCGAGGGCGTCAGGGTTTAGGGTTTAGGCTTTAGGGTTCAGGGTTTGGGGCTTAGGGCTTACAATTTCGGGTGGAGTGCACTTTCCACTGGGCCGGTTGCTGCAATGGGAGGTTGAGACTTCGGTTTCTTTGGCTTTCGTTTGCAGGCTGCTCTTGAGTTTTTGTCTAGGCAACTACTGATCCTTCATGCATGTGCGATGGTTTACAAGCCTGAGGAGTAGGTGTTCCAGGCCCCTGAAACCTCAATCGCTCTTTGGAGGGTTTTGGGGTTTAGGGCTCAGTGTTGGACTGACTTTGGTATGAGGAAGGTCTATAATCTCAAGTTTCGAACATTCATTCTGCGAACCGAGTTTGTTCAGGGTACCGTCTATTATCACATGTCTTTTTTTTTTCGGACGCTGTTTTTCTTTTTTTTTGTGAGGGGTTTGTATTTTGGGTTAAGGGCGCAGCAAGGCTTGAGGCCCTGATGGCCTTGGGCTCCAGGAATCCTTAAGGCATTTATACTAATAATACTAATAAATACTAATAATACTAATACTAATAATGCTAATAATACTAATAATACTAATAATGCTAGTAATTCATTCATTACGAAACGAGGCCCCAAGCAAATTTTGTGATAGGTAGCCCGCGGGCCGGTCAGACTGTCTTTTGTAAGTTTGTCTGGCTAGCCTCTATAATGCCAAGTTTTTTTCGGATGATTTTTTTTTCAGGGTTTGTGTTTAGGGTTAAGGGCTTACGCAGTGAGGCTTGAGGCCCTGAGGCCTTGGGCTCCAGGAATCTTCAAGGCTGGAAAGCTTCAGGCCTTGAGGTCCTAAAAGGCTTGAGGCCCTGGGGGCGGTTCCCCGCCCCCACCCATTTGTTTGGGGGGTCGCCGCGGCATGCGCTTATAGAGGGTCCAAATTTGTTTGGGGGGGGGGGCCCATACCAAAGACAGTGCAACATTAGGGTCTCTCGCAGAATCATCTGCTACGGCAATCAAGTCAAAGTGTGTGCTCTGGGGTTTAAGCAGCCGCATCAGCCCCCCCCTCCCAAATCCCCCGGCCCCCC